GACTTTTTGTCTACTCAACGACCTATATAAGGGTCGTAATGCGTTAACCTTTATACGCGTTCTTCCATAGTTATGATAAAAAATATACAAAATAAAACACCAGAATCTCAGCTTTATAATAGTATCGTATAGCAACTCCTGCAATGTCATAATATCATTTGAATACGCTTCGCGTATGAACGGTTTTAGCGAAATCGCACCGACACCGTTCACGAATAATAATATATTATTACACTTTGGTGACGTATTTTGCAAACTATATGTATATAATATAATATTAGACGTAGCAATATTATATACATGCATAGGTGGTATTAATAACATCAACTCTCACGCATGACGTTTTCTAGTGCCGAGAATATTGATCTATACATAATATATATATATATAACACTATATTTTATTAAAACGACATTCTCTGTACGTAGACTGCGCACGGAACATTATTCGGACCTTTAGTTTAATCCATTTTGCACGTGTCATCGTCGTTTTTTGCGCCTGCAGAAATAAATTATTTTTCAGTCCGTACGAGCGCAGTGTGACGTAATTTTAGATTTTACACCCCCTTACAAACATTTTATTTAAAATTGTATAAATTATTGTGTTACCAAATAACAATAATATGTAAAATATTGTATTATATCCACTAATGTACAAGTTATGCTTATTTACAGACAATCTTAGATTGCACTATTAATCATTTCGCTGCGCGTGTAAGTCATTCCAACGGACCAACAACATTTCAACGTTGATAAATGACCTAGATTCAACTAACTCCTGAAGTTGTAATATACAGAAATATTAAAATTGTATATTATTATATTATGCAGTGGGACGTTTGGATTACTATTCTTACAAGTGTGCAGTTTAAGCGAGAACGTTTAGAACTATAATATAATAATATGTGTCAGTGTCGTGAAACGCAAATGGGATGGTTTGATCTGTGTCACGTCACTGTCGGTCATTTTAATACAGAAAATATGATATTGTACCTATATCTCTATGACCGGATATTTTAAACGAAAAAAAAAAATGAAATCATAAAACACGAACGGTACGAATATCAGATTAAAACTAAAATGATTTCTATAGTAAATACGAACGTAGATGTAAAACTATTTTGGTTATTATTTGTTAGTTTGTTTTATATTGGCACAACCTGGGATATTTAACATAATAATATGTAGTTTAACTTGAGTATCCCGATCTGACTGGTTTCGAAATGTTAAAAATGAATAAAACATGTTATTTTGGGTATCTATTATTGTCACCACTATAAACGGTTATAATAAAAATAATAAAAAAGAAAAATGCCAGTGTTTTTTGTGCAAATGCGAGTGTGGCATGGTGTTTGGCCTCAGTCATTATAATGTGTCCTGCTGTCAACTATCGTTAGAGTCGATACTTCCAGGATGGGTGACCACCCGGGTTTTTAGTGAAAAATTCAAATTCTCGCCCTATATCGGACCCCCCCCCCCAAAAAAAAAAAAAACAGAAAATCTGTTCACATTTAATTTAATTTGCTTTTATTAATTTATTTTTATTGATATATTATGTAAGTACGTACATATCGTAGTCGTGCATGCCGTGTTGGTGTATACATATATTGTAGACATGTCTCATTCGTATTTAATATAAGGTTTGTAAATGTTTTAATAATACACTTATTTTGGTTTTATAATAGTTGTTTAATGATTAAAATATAATGTAAGAATTAAAAGATTTTGGGAAATTAGAATTATTAATTGTGAGCTAGACCCATAATATCGGGTAACTATGATAATTTATCCGAACTAATTAGGTACACGAACATATTCGGTATGAGAAAGTTGAAAGATAATTGAAAACCCATAAAAACATAGATTGGTACATTAAACGATACTAATATACCTATTACCCAAGTAGAATTATAAACATGGCTAATTTTTTCAAAAACAATAATAGTACAGTTTTATATAGATAAGATTAGATAACTACTATTTTGAAATAAAAAAACAAATTGTAAATTGGTACTTAAGTAACCTAAGAATTATTTTTAATTATTTAATTAAATGTTAAAACATAACATATAATTATTGGAAAGTAATATGAATCATTCTCTTTTCGTAATGCCACCTGGATAATGTAAAATATAAAATATTGTACCTGGTATACAAAACACCTATGCATTATTCTACCTAATTTCTAACCTATCTGCGTTACACGATGCATTATTACTACCAGAAAAAGACTGATTTTAATACTTTGGATAAAAACGTTGATTTTATCGTCATAGTCTTTGAAAGGGGAAACTTTGGTTGGGTATTTAACCAGGTGTTTTTTTTTTAAATATATATAACTACTGTGGTAGAATATAGTCGTTTTGGCGTTTGTAGGCTAAAAGAATCTTGAATGAAAAATGACCTGCACACCGAACGTTTAACTTTATCCAGAAAACGGTTTGGTCATTAGCCGTTTTGTCTACATCATTTACTCGAAGCCATTCGAGCTTTTGATTAATTTTCAAGTAGGTTCTGGTGGCTTTAAAAGGATCCCCGTCACCCATTTTGTCGTCGTCGTCGTCATCGTCATCGTTGCCACCGCCACCGCCACCATCGCAACCGCTAACGTTCACCTACACCGCAGAAGGTTTCGTCCCGTTGACGTGATTTACGAACATAATAAGAGAAATCAATACGAACCGACAAATGTGTATGCGTTATTGCCTGCGTATTGTCGACAATTGACGATGGTGGTCGACAATCATCTGCCATCATGCATTGGTGAACACGATTGTAGCGTATAATATATGATTGTTATTATGCACCAGGACAGAGACGGAACTACAGATCTATGTAATATAATATTTTCTGTTACATCAACGAACCCGTAGTGTCATTGAACTTACGACTGTGTATGTGTTTGGAGACTTCGGCGATTTTTTTGATTTTCTCAATCACCTCATATCAATTCAATTTTGATCACATAATTTTCCAAGGTTTCAGAGTGAAAAATATGTACTATATTATTTATAAAAAAAAATATAATAGGTAATAATTATTATAATAACTGAAATATGTAACTAAAAATGTTTATAATAGCTTTAAAAATCTTTATTTAAAATGGATTTACTTAAAAGAGAACATTCGTCGGTATTTTAAAAATAACAATTAAATTTAAAAAATTTTCAAATATGCATTTAACCAAAAAATTGATGAAACACTGAAATATCTATGGTATAAATATACATAAATTTAATAATAAATAACTAAAAATATAGTAACTTGTTATTCTTAATTAGGAACTTGATAAACTTATGAAATTTGTCAATAAATGCAATAATTTGTTCCGAATCATATATTAATTTCAATTATCATCTAAACTATCATAATCCTAAATAAAAATTTTAAAAACACATAGGTAATACCTCAGTTCTCCTAACTATAGAGCACTCGCCACTGCAGTGTATCATATAACATATTATCACGTTGTTAAAATAAATCAAAAATAGTTATAGAGACTGGGTTTAACAAATTAAAACATTTGAAATTTCATAACGTCAAAATCATTTCCAAAATGATTTTACACAAATACGAGTGCCTAAATTAATTTTTTAAACATAAAAAAAAAATACAAACTAAAATTGTATGTTAAAAATAATTGAACATGATGTTTTTATGAAATGAAAAAAAGAAGTTCTATGATTATCGACTCACTAATAATTATACTAATATGCAGTGTTTACATAAGACATTATTGATTGTAGAATATTTTATAATAATGAGTCGACATTTTATCATTGTATAATACACTTGAGTGAATTCCTACGGTTTACGGACGAATTCAACCATTCCGGATGAGTCAATTCTCTAAGTTTATTTTTTAGTTTACTATTTTTTTATTTTTCACAAATGTTTTAAAATATACAAAAACAAAACTTATGTCGTATTTTCAATCTAAAACAAATTAAAATAATATTAATATATTCTTTGAATTTTACAATCTTAACTGACAAAAATTAACCTAAATTGTGATCATCCCTGTGCGTCAAATTTACTTATACAATTAATTAGTTTATTTGCTATTTATCTTTGTAATGTGTATGTTAATAAGATTAGCTGGTTTTTGTAATCGTTACAATAATTTATAAAACTACATCAATAATGGTTTAAGATTAGAGAAATTATATTCTAAGCTTAAAATGTGCAACATTGTGGTTTGGGGCTTGGGCTTCTAAACTAATATATTGATTAGTTTAAGAAAATTATGGCTGGCAGCCTAATAGTCACAGTTACAAATTGTATTGAAAGTTATCCTCGATATTTCTATAATATATCTATTAGCCGGCGTGGTATATAGGCAATTTCGGTACATTGACGTATAAATTACTTTCAAACGGTATTCCACGGTATTTTTGGAAGGATAATGGCAACTATATATTTTCGTTGTGACAAATTAAGTCACGTCAACTTTTCCCATGGACACACGCAACTACTGTTTAATACTGAATGACGTTAAATTCGTGGATTTCAAATAGTGAGACAATAGAGAGGCAGTTTTTATATTTAATGGTTTGAAATAAAAATAAATTACTTAATAAGGCGCCAATCCAATTTCTATTATGTTGGCTTTATCAGTTATTTAACATAAAAAAAACGAATTGAAATATTTTATCGAATGATTATTCTTTATGTATTAGGGCAAAGGTGATGAATATGTCACATAAACAAAGAAAATACTACTAGAGTCGTTACTGGAATTTAATTTATGTTGGGTAACAATGAGATGAGACAGATTTCTAAAAACTATCTTCAAATTTTACTGATTAAGTCGAATTGTAACTCAATGTTTCCATAGCGATTGTCAATAACATGTGCCATGTAATTAAGTTTTCATTGTCTTTTCATAAAATAAGACCTATTTTAAATAGGTCCTTCGGTTTATTTATAATTTTGGATATCGATTGCGGAAGCTCAACACCAATTTATTGAAGTCGATTATTTTATATTTTAGTTGAAATAATGTGGTATCTCAAAAATACCTTCGGAATTATAACCCTTCAAGTTGGTATCATTTCATTCAGTTCAGTGTTTATAGTAAGAAAGTAGTTTCTAATACATTTTACAACGACTTCAATCATGGAATTGAAAAATATTTTTCAGACTTTTGCAGTATGTATTTTACTAGTTAACGCATTGTCTCTAGATATAGAAGAACCAAGTATGAAACATTTATTTATTTCCGATAAAACAAAAATAAAACTATTTATTGACATTTCTTTAAAGCTATTTTAAAATACACTTATCTAGATAGTTCAGTTGAATATTCTTATAAATAATACTATTTAGTATACATTTTATGATATCGCTTCAGTGATGAGTAAATTTTGTCTGAGACTGTCTCCAAATACTATTACATATCCGCTTCAATAATACAATATTTTAATGAACGCTGTTATTATTATTTTTTGTTTATAGTGGCATGGATAATCATGTTTATGTTTATTTTTACTATGATCATTATATGGTCGATTGCTTTCCGTGGAGCTTTCAAAGTAAACTAAAAATGATTTAAAAAATGTTTTCATCCGTTTAATGATGGAAAAAAATCTGTTTAGGAACTACAACATTTAATTTCTATGGCTACGGTATGTTGGGCAGTTTATTTTGTACTATGGAATGTATTAGTTATTTGGTCATTTATTCAACAAAACAAGTAAGAAGTCTTTGAGTTTGCATTAAATTTAAAACGATAAAATACAGGTTACAATATTATATTGAAAGGAACATTTGTATCGGAGCTAGATGTCCAAATGCGTTATGGCTAATAAACAATTCATGGTATGAATTTAAACATAGCGCCAATGGAAAAAATAAAACAAATAATTTTAAAGGATTAGCAAAAGTTAAACCGTTAATCGAACAATTGGGAGGTTATAATGAAATAGTTAGTACATTCAATGAGACACGCATGACACCAGAAAATCAAAGAAATTTAATTTTATCCGTAATATTAATAATTGTTTATACAAGTATGTATTTTATTTTAATTTAATTATCATTTATTTTTCGTATAGTATAGTTTTAAATACAAAAACAATTTATTATTTTATCCACTTCACAGTTATATTACTATATTCATGGGCAATATTATTCAGTTATCGAAAAGAAATTCAGAGCAAGATAAATTCAGAAACACAATGAATAAAAGTTTTTTTAAAACTGCTTTTTAATATTGCAATATATTTCATCAATTTAATAAATAAATATATTATTTACTGTATTGTTGTATATGTAGATGATGAATGTTGTTTTAGTATTTGTCTGTTAAATTATAAACACGTTCAAAAGTAAAATTTAGAAGAGTTTTTATTGTTTTACTTTAAGGACGTTTTTGAAATGTAGGTAATTTTTAAAAAAAATGTCAAATTTTAGTTAATAGGTATTACTGATGAGTGTAGGGTGACTGACGGTCACCCTAATGTTAACCGTAATTTAAATTATATAACTCGTCTGTAATTAGATTTTGAATGCACTTTGTCATTGAGTAGATTAGTGTAATAACTAATAGATGTGGTAAATTTGATTTCAATAATAAATTGTTATGTTTTTCAGAATATAAAAATGGTACCATTATGAAATATATATATAATTATTCTATCTGCTCCATTTGACAAGATACAAATGAGGTGCATAATTTAGTTTGTTACTCAGTGTGTATTATTTATAAAAAAACACTCTTTGGATTTTTACTTTTATATTCGTAATAAACTAATAAATTATTTTTAATTAAATTTTCAAAAAAAAACACCGTTTTCCAAACGTGTACACGTTGTTTCGATACTTGTATTTTGGAACTCTACAGGACAAACAATCTAAGTAAAAGGTCGTAAGTTGTAGTAGTTCCAGGCTTGATACCTAAACCTAGCCATAAAACAGGGATATTCTTGATTTTATTCGTCAAGGGGATGTACCTGGTCTTAAATGATTCAGTTCATAGATATTCCATTTTTAAACTCCGTTACTATACACAAGTTATTGGAGAACTACGATCCACAGGTTTTTAAATTCAGCTAAGAGAGTTTTGAACAAATTGTTCTGCATTTACGTTATGACGTTCGAATTCAAACCAATTGGACATAACATTTTGAGTGGATAATTTAATTTAAAACCAAGGCAAATACAGATTGGAAAATTGTTCACAAATCCATTTATCATAAAAGGTTTTCGTGGCGTCTCTAGTATTACAAAATGTATTTTACTAGAAGAGAATATTATTCACTTCAGAGTGAAAATTGAATATTTTTGACAAATCTTATACATTAAATTAATATTACAGGTTCAGCGTAAATGATATAAAACATTTTATTTTGTACATACTTACATATTTTTAAAAAAAAATAAAATGAGTAAATTTTGCTCATGTTGCAGAGAGTTGCACTGTGAGTGTAATATTTTGTAATATTTTGTATTTTGACCACAAGTTAGATTAGTTTTTAAATATAAACAGATTATTTAGAAAAATTACCTTATTATATTCTTATAACAGTCTTAAAATTATTTTATTTATTTTTAAAAAAGTCACGTTTTTAAGAATACATAATACAGGTATATTAAGAATATTAACTGAAAAATGAACATTTTCAGTGGGGCCCATTATCTTCTTTCAGAATAAATTACAATTAAAATTAAATAAATATTATATTTAAAAAAAAAAAGATTTGATTCAATTTCAGAAACAATAATTATTAAATAGATAATACATTTACAAGGTCCAATCTCTAAGCAGTAATTAATTCATATTTTGAATACGTTGCTAAATTGTATTAAATATTAATTGTATTTATTTTATGTAAAAGAACGTGTAATCGAATAATGTCATAATTGACTGCAGTCATATTTTGTCACAAAGTATATCTGCATCTGTTTAACAATTGTTTAAATAATAATCATAGAAAAAAATAATAAAATAATAATAAATAACTGCGTAATACTAATAATGAGAAATTAAATACTTTGATTTAAAATGTACATATTTTTTTTATTATAGTATTTGTTGGTTTTGGACTTTGGTGTATATTTAAGTAACTATTATAATCATTAAAACAATAAAGTATTTTATCATAGGCCTAATAATAATTTATAGACATTCTATTTTATTCTGGTATAAAATTGTGTAATCTATTCCGTAATCAGCCATTTAACGGCTCAACGGCTATCGATATATTTCGAACGTATAATAATATCTATAATAAGATAACGCTCAGGACCGGTGCTATTGTCTTCACCATTGTTTAATTTCCCAGACGACACAGTAAGAATACAAATTGATCAGTGTTATCCAACTGACATCATACCGAATGGTTGACATTAAGAGGGTCACGGAGCCTTTCTCACAAGTAATCGAAGTAAAAATCTATTCGCTATTTTTGGTAGTTGGTACTTATCTAATACCTATTAATAACATTGCACTGTAGTCTGTAATACAATAGAATACATCACTACTATTATAGTATCGTATAATATGCAAAAACGTTACTGTAAAGAAAAAGTTTATCATATTTTCGCATGGAGATTAGTTTAATTAAAACCACCGCCGAACATTTGATAAAAAAATTGTCACCACGTCGAAAGTTGTTAATAGTTATTTGTTTTAATTTCACATTGTTTTTAGTCCGTCGGCTGTAATCATAAATATAACTCATCCGGTTATTGTATTTTCATAAAAGCATTACAACTTTATCCATTAACGCGTTATTAGCTTGGTTGGTATCCACCGAAATACCTGTCGTTTGACGTCAATGCTCTATGGCCATTTAATGATCGAAGTTTCGTGCATTCAGTCAATACATTTAATAACGATTATTATTACCTATATAATATCAAATAGGTCTAAAAACCGTGACGACGTGTCACTTAAGCCAGCCGCCTGTGGTGAGATGTGGTTTTTATCGGGTTGGTCGTTATAATCACGTTATCATTCACTAACCATGATCTCTCTAGAATGTCTAAAGTTGGGCTGAATTTTTGTACACGACACGACAAACGGCCAGCCTTTCGCATGATGATATTATTAAACCTGCGGTTAAGACGTTATCACCATAGGATAAATGAATCTGCAGAATAACACCGAATCATACAAGAAGCATCATAGGGAAATCTTATAAACGAATTCGCCATTTTTTTTGGAGGAATGACCATTGGGCATAAATATAACAATGTTATCTTCCTCCAAAAAATGGCTGCCAATTAATGCTACCATTTATTAAAGTTCCAGAGTTTGTTACCACTCAGTTCAAGCTCAGTGTACACAATATACGTAAATTAACGACTTATCCATTGATTTGCAGGTTAGGACCACAGCAAACGGTACTGCCAGCACCTGAGTCACAGTCGGCTGACGTGCGTTGACGTGTCCGCCGCACTGAAGGCGTTTGCAACCACCGGAAGTTGAGAGTCCCGGTGTCCGGTGCAGAGGAAGAGCCTGCGGACGACCCGAGAAACGGAACGGGAGCGGGAGCGGACGAGCGGGCGCGGGCGGCGTCGGTGACAATATACGACGGCGGTGACGACGCGCTCACGCCGGCCCGTCCGCGCCCAACGGTCGTGATCGCGACTTTGCCCCGTGATCTGTGCCACGACGAGATGATCGCGCCCGGCTGCGGCGGTGGTACAAACAATGGTTGGCGGTGGTGATACCGCCGTGCCGGGGCGCCGGTCATCATGCGTTCCGAGCGGTCGGAGCGGCCATCGCCACTGTTGCAGCAGCTACCGCGGTCCTGCCACAGAATCCGCACCGGGATACCGCTACCGTGGTCGTCGTCGTCGTCGTTGTTGTTGTTGTTTCTAAGGGGTGGTCGTCATCTTGGCAGCCACCACCACCGCCACCAGCACCAGCGCCGAGCCCGGCTGACCTTCGCCGTCGACGCCGCAGCCGCTTGGTGTTACCACCATGCGGCTGGTGCAGAGCATCGCGGGCCGACGCGAGTCCGCGGACGCGCAACCCGCCACGTCCACTAGCAGCACGCGCCTGCTGCACCACGGCCAGTCGGCCGACCTCGAGCAGATCAGCATCGTGTCTTCGAACGCCACTCCGTCGCAAGTCACGTACGGCACTGGTTTGGTCACGGCCAATGGACCCAGGATAGTACCAGGTAAACCATTTCGAATTATGTAATTTTGATTAGCATAGGATCTCGTATCTTCTAAACTTGACGTTAAAGGTTTTGAATACAGTTATATTTGAATTAGCGTGAGTTATTACCGGCAGACTGAATATTTCTATTAATTTCTGATGTTACCTTAATGATAAATAAAATTATATTTTTGTTATTATACAACAATTATAAATTCCTTTAAATCATGTAACAAACATAGATCAAATAATATGTGCAATACTCAGGCTGTTCTCATGAAATGCATATTGAAGTATTTTGTTGGTTTTAAAAATTATTATCTAAATGATGTGTTATTTTATCGTGGTCCAGTTGTGTTATCTTGTTCTTGCAAGTTATTTTAGAGGACGAAACGGGGAAATATGTATAGCATAAGCTTAAGATTGAATATTTAAAAAATCAATACAACAATAACAGACGTATACGATGTTAAAGCCCGTAACTAAAATATTAATATCCTTCAGTGCTTCAATAATTTCTAGTCAACATTAATATGCCAACGATTAAATTAACTCAAAATATTTTGTATTCGCACTTTAAAACTTATACTACTATAACTTTAAAAGATGACATAGCTTTCATAAACTACATAAACTTTGCGATTGGAAATTGCAATTAATACTTTAAGCCTTTTTATAAAATAACCATATTCAAGTAGCTCACACAGCTTCTTTGTTTTATAATACAAGAATTTAACATCCACAATATTCACTACAGCCAAAGAAAGGAAAATAATTCATCCAAACTTTTTACTTCACAATATGTATAATGTATTAATGAATTTTTGAATAATATTTCTTCTTAATTTAATTATTAACGTATAAAGTATCTTAATTACCGTAATAACTAATTACACCTCAACTTAATTTAGATGTATTTCCATTCAAATGTTCACTACATCTGTTCAATTAAAATAATATAAAAATTAAAAATAACCAATCATAAGAATAACTGAAATGTGAACCGTTTATTTTAAATTTTCTAAGCTTGAAAATAATAAAAGTATAAAAATAATACAAAAAAATTGCTAGAAAATTTAAAGCAATTATAAAATGTTAAAAAAAGGTCACAAAGAAAAAATGATTTAATCAATAAATTTAATTTTTGAACAAATGTTTTTAACAAGGAAGAAATTAAATTCTTATTAAAACCTTTTTAAGCTTTTATTTATTTGTTTTTTTTACGCATTTATTTAATATTAAAATTATATAAGATCAGTTAGATGAACTCAATTAATGATTATAATTCAAAATATTATATTATGAATATGATTCATTATTCTTATCAATGTATTACAACATAAATATGGTATTAAAATAAGTATATTTATATTATACAGTATAGGTACACATAACAATATTATTATTGGTAGGGTAATATAAAATATTTACTTTAAATAATATGCAGGCATCCGTTTTATATAATAGATACAATTAATGCGTTAAAATAGAAATATATACATATACTTATATTATACTTGGTATTATGAACTATAATTTATATTTCATTATATTTCATTATTATTTATATTAAGCCGTTTACCAATTATATGGAAAATATTTATAAATAGTATTTACTATACATATAAACATATGACATTATATTACATAAATTTTTGTAATGTAAACTCTTCATCAGGTAAATAGGTATATGTACGCCTTATATGATTATATTATAATAGCGGTACATCTAAAATACTAAGGAATATCTGTTGTATTATTAATTATTAATATCATCATGTTAAAATTGCCAAAAATTACCGATTCTGTAAATTTCTGTAGATGTAGATAGCCTACAAAGACTAGGAAAGTCTTATTATAATTAAATAATAAAAAAAAGGCATATAGGTTTAATCAGATTATAAAATGATTTTTTTGGTTAAGAAAAATTTCTCCACTTTACTACCATTGTATTTTATTGTACTTAATTGATAATATTATACACAGTAATATAACAACTGAAAATGCCACCACTATCGTCCTTGTCGTTGTTCTCAATTTTTTATAACATTATTGTTTTCGGAATGTAAAATGAAATTGCAAAGCTCAATGCTATTTTATAACATCATAAGAAGATCTTAAGCAACATACAATTCTTTAATTCTTACTTTACATTATATTATAGGAGAGCTGTTTTTTCTCTTATCGAACTCGACTCCTTAAAACCGCTACTCCGAATACTGTGTATATTCATATCATACATTTCTTTGTTTACCTAATTATATTAACCTCCGTTGGTTAATTAACTTAGTTAAATATTTTGAACAATAAAATACGTTTTGAATCAATGTAAAAAAAGGATTTACTCTGACTGACAATATAAATATATTTATTTATTTTATTATTGTGTTCTTTAATTTATTTTATAATATATCAGATAATACAAAAATATTATGACCAAAAGTCAAAATTAAATTATTAATTTTCAAAGATAAGCTATTGTTCGTCTTATACTACGTCATTTAAACGTATTTTCTTAAAATCAATGGCTCATAAGATAATGAAAATACGAGAATAATTATTAAATGTTTGTAGAACGCTTATGAAATCTCCTAAATTAGATTTTAACAAACCCATACAATGCACATGCATTTTTTAATTAAGTGTCTTTTTACTGTTGCCAAATTTTCATTAGCTATTATAAAAATAAACTGTGAATTCATGTTTAAATAATTTCTATGAAAAAAAAATATATAATTATTTTCATAGTTAAATAACATAATTATCTGCAATTATAAACACGTTTATTTTTTTAAGATTTTGTACATATCAAAAACTATCCGATTTAACTTTCCAAATAAATTCAGTGCTTCAGGTAGGTGCTCTTCAAAAATGCAATACTGAATTTAATTCAAAAACGTAAGTTAATATTTAGTAGAAAAAATGTTACAGTCATTAGAATGTAAAATTGTATATTCAAAGGGTGGTTCGTGTGTGCTCACTGCCATTTTTTCAATAATCTATTTATCCGATTCTGGTTATTGGAAGTTTTTAGTATGTATTCCTACTTAGTAAATTATAAATACCATATTTTCAATGATTTAGATTTCCATATCATTTAAGAAATTACATGTAATCTTGTCAGGCTGTAACGATATAAACTTCTTTTTTTTTTTTAAATAATCAAACGTGGAAAATGGGAAAGTGTACTTTTTAGAAATGAAATTCTCCGTCGGCGTAAATCTGGTATTAATTACGACACTTTGGTACCTATGATTTTATCAAATAAAAACATTTACCTAGTCATGTTTCACATAATATTGTGGTTAAATAAAGTTTACCTACATTGCTTGTTTTTGTATCAAATAGATTGAATAATGAAAAAAAAACCATTGGGCTCTTGTAGGCTTTTAAAATGGATTGAAAATTGTTTTTTTTACTTATTTGCCGTTGATATTTTAAGCCGATTGCCGGACGTACATAGAGCAGATTTAGTAAAACCATATACTCGTATTGTATTATAGAGTCTTTGTCTCGCAGTGACTGATATAGAGTATAAACTATATTGAAATAATCGGCTATTTGTATAGTTCCTAAAGAAATGAAATAACAATATAGCTACACAGCTAAATATAACTCCAGAATTCTTTTATTGTTGTTTATCGTATTTTCGAGTTTAATTTGAGAATTTTATCCAAGCTTACTATGTAACAACGAAAAAATGTCATCAGATACTGTTCATCTTCGATCTCTTTAGCAAAACAATACATTTTTTGGGGTTAAAACACTCTTTTAGTACCCATATTTATAATTCAACATCATATTAAAAAAAAATCAATAAAGTTGCTTTACGTTTTTACTGTGTTATGCTTCATCGCTGCAATAACTGTATAACTTTGAGTACCACTATGATACGGTGAGCAATGTACCGATTATTACAGATAAATACTAAGCGGGTGAATCGGTACCAGAAGATTTCGATGTTAGAGTACATTTAAAGTGTATCTGCCTGTTGAAATAATATTTTGTTAATATTAACTGATAACCTGGACACCTAGTTACCACATGTGGAATAAACGATGAAACGAGACACAATTATATTATTATAAATGTTGTTAAGTAATCAAAAATAGTTATAACCTTATAGGTAGTAAGTACATATAATATGCTGGGACTCCGTGATAATATAATATAATGAATTTAAGATGATACACGCGCTCTGGAGATACTAGATAATATTTGTATAATTTATACACATTATAACAATAACATATAAATAAACCACATTAGCTTAGTAAATAAATATCAGTAGCATGCATAAATTTCATAGAATTATTTTAACAAAATATTTTACTATTCAAGAATCAAACATGTTTACTTTATTTTCAAATTAATATTGGCAAATTGCTAAAGCGGCAACACAATCCCTATTTTGAGCAAAAATATTTTACTGGCCATAAGTAGTTATGGGTTATGTAACTTTGGTAGAGATTTTTGAGAGATTTGAAATATTCAACCAGAATAAATGCTAAAATGCGTATAGTTTAGCATAACAGATTAATTTCGATTCATTTGAATGAAAACACGAAAAATTGTTAACTTAAATTATCTTTTATTTTATTTTTTAATCCTATTTGTGCATTTTATGATTGAAACACGGAAAATACATATTATAATAAAAGTATAGTAACAATTCACCTGTAGAGGTGAGTCATTAATAATATTGAAAACATTTTAAATCCATTTAAATGTTCAGTGAGAGAGTTCGATAGTATTATAATAGTATAGCCATTTAGGTAATTTTTAAGGTTGGTTTCTTTTTTGAATAAATAATAAATAATACATAATCACAACTATCCTTACTTATTTTGAAATAGTACCAAATAAAACTACAGTGCAAAACCACACAAAAGTGGAATTCTAGTAACGTATTCCGATTTAATACATAATATAATAATTAATAAATAATATATAACTGTATCATTATTGGACCGAAATATCAGGGGAGACAAACCTCTCCAGTATCAATATAATTACTAA